AATGAATAAGACGTGGGAACATAACTCTATGTCTCCGCGGCTTTAATAATAAATGAACGAGACGTCGACTGTTGGACTCAGACCTGACGCAGTGAGACTGTCGCGGGATTGACCAGGAGGTCAAAATTAGTGTTCCTGGGAGATGATAGGCTGGCTACCAGACGCGCTCTGCACCAGCTCTATAAGGGCGTATTTTTGCGCTTTTACAGAGTTTACTCCTGAACCACTCGGTGTATTGTGTCGCGGTTGACAGTGTTGCGCTCAGTAGGACTTATGGGTCTACTGCCCAGTCGACGACTGTGGATAGTGTCGACGATAGCAAGGCAGTCAGACCACTACTGTGGAACTGGTCTTATGAGTCTATACCAGGCTCAGGGCCATTAGTGACGAACGCTTGGACCGCGACCATTCCCCAAAAGGGATCTGTCGTTGCGTCGACTTCTCAAAAAGGGTCATTCCCTGCAGATGGGAACTTGGGCTGAAGGACTGAGCAATGCGCGACGTTCTCAATAATAGAACTATTACTGGACAGGACTTGGCGTTACGAGACTTAAACCATCTTGTCGCGGCAACTCCCGGTTTTGAGTTGGACGTTCCCTCAGATCATGCCACGACGACGACTTGTCACATGTCAGGATCCATTCGATCACGGGACATTGTGGACGCGTCGCGGTGACACTCCCAAGTGTCACGGCGAGTCGCGTCCATACCCAAACACACTAAAATCGACACGGCTAGATCCATGAACCGAACCATGTGGGGGACGACTGGCGTGCCTAGAGCCATACGGCTTCTTGGGGCGCCCACGTTGGTCTCACTTGCCAAGACATACCCGTTGGCCAATCCAACACGTCGTATTCCAAAAGTATGACGCGGTGGGTTGACCCACATCAAAAGTATCATATGGACTATGGGGCGGGGTCCTGATCACTCAGGACCTGTCCGATCGTTCAACTTTTCAATTACCCTAAAAGGCAACCGATCTTAGATAGCGTAGCTACTATGCAGTTGTACAGGACTTTACTAAGCAGCGTCGTAGACAGTATAAGTAGCACGTCGTCTCTTTGTATTAAAAAGCTTTTCCCCGGACTGTGAATCACTCTCATTTCAGATTGTTTTGAACAATTTGCGTGCCGCGTGATTCCACCCTAAGAAGTTCTGCCACCCCTGCCCGGTCGCGACGAGTTGCTCCCTGAGCACTTGTAGCTACTGTGATTTGAGTTTGAGTTGAGACATCAGAAAGTCGGATTCGCCGCATCTGGTTTAGTCGCGGCATTTAGTGTCGTCGCCTTCGGGCTTTGTTGAGATCGTTCCACACCTCTAGCTTGGCAGTGCGTCGACTAGTTGTGCTCAGGTTGTTTTGGTCAGTTGGCAGTGTGTCGACTTGAGAACTTTGGTTCCACACTTCTTGCTTGGCAGTGCGTCGACAAGTTGTGCTCGGGTTTTGGACATTGGATATTGGCTGTTAGTTGGCAGTGCGTCGACGCGGCATTTTGGTTTACTAGTTGGCAGTGCGTCGACTCAGTACTTTTGGTTGTGTCAGTTGGCAGTGCGTCGACTCGACATTTTGGTTTACTAGTTGGCAGTGCGTCGACTCAGTATATTGGTTGTATCGGTTGGCAGTGCGTCGACTTGATATTTGGGCTTTGCGTCACCATCTAGACGCTGTCGCTACAAGGGATCTTAATACTTCGTATTAAGCTCTGACTTGTTATATTGTTGGTTGTGGATTGGATTAGTGTTGGTTGTGTTCGTATAGGAGATATTGGTTGAGATACCATTGTTTGCTATATATAAATTCTTGTCGTCGACTTCGTCTCCGCGACTATTGGATCTGCGTCTATTGAGAGTTGTGATACTGGTGCTCTGTCCACCCCGAAGCCCTCGCATCTTTCACACACTGAGAAGCTGATTACGAGGAGTGTGAACGTGTTTATATTTGGGTTTACTTTCATAGTAGATTCACTTGTGAGCACGCCCTCAGCATTTCACCGCGTCATACTTTTGGAATACGATGCGCTGGATTGGCCAACGGGTATGTCTTGGCAAGTGAGACCAACGTGGGCGCCCCAAGAAGCCGTATGGCCCTAGGCACGCCAGTCGTCTCCCACACGGCTCGGTTCACGGATCTAGCCGTGTCGATTTTAGTGTGTTTGGGTATGGACGCGACTCGCCGTGACACTTGGAAGTGTCACCGCGACGCGTCCACAATGTCCCGTGATCGAATGGATCCTGACATGTGACAAGTCGTCGTTGTGGCATGATCTGAGGAAACGTCCAACTCAAAACCGGGAGTTGCCGCGACAAGATGGTTTAGATCTCGTAACGCCAAGTCCTGTCCAGTAGTAGTTCTATTATTGAGAACGTCGCGCATTGCTCAGCCCTTCAGCCCAAGTTCCCATCTGCAGAGAATGACCCTTTTTGAGAAGTCGACGCAACAACAGATCCCTTTTTGGGGAATGGTCGCGGTCCAAGCGTTCGTCACTAATGGCCCTGAGCCTGGTGTAGACTCATAAGACCAGTTCCACAGTAGTGGTCTGACTGCCTTGCTATCGTCGACACTATCCACAGTCGTCGACTGGGCAGTAGACCCTTAAGTCCTACTGAGCGCAACACCGTCAACCGCGACACGATACACCGAATGGTTCGAGAGTAAACTCTGTAAAAAGCGCAAAAATACGCCCTTACAGAGCTGGTGCAGAGCGCGTCTGGTAGCCAGCCTATCAACGGTTGAGATTCTGGGCCTTCCGGAAGTACTCCAGATTTTTGTGGTCGGTCCAGATCTCAACGGGGTGCTCGGCGCCCTCGAGGAAGTGTCGCCACTCCTCCAAGGCGCGGACGATGGCGAGCATCTCCTTGTCGTGGATTTTGTAGTTCCGCTGGACCTCGTTAAGACTCTTCGAGAAGAAGGCAACCGGATGCCACTTGTCATCCACGGGGGACTGCTGCGAGATGACAGCACTGGTTGCAAAGTCCGAACTGTCTGCTTCGAGGCGGTAAGACCTGGAAGCATCTGGGAGCTGCAGGACTGGGGTAGAGGTAACGGCGTTCTTCAGCGCAAGAAACGCAGCCGCCTCGTTGGCGCCCCAAGTCCATGCCACATCCTTCTTGGTGAGGTCAAAGAGAGGACGGGCAACGTGCGAAAAATCCCAGATGAACCTCCGGTAGAAGTTAGTGAAGCCGAGGAACTGCTGCACCTCCTTCTTGTTAGCCGGGGCTGGCCACTCCGCCACACCTGCGACCTTGACCGGGTCCATCTCCACATGGTTGTGGGAAATGATCACCCCAAGGTATTCGATCAACGGCATCTCGAACTCGCATTTCTCCGCGCAAAGGTAGAGCTTGTTCTCGCGGAGACGTCGGAGGACTTCGTTCACGATTTCCCGGGGACGGTGGATATTGGAATGTGCGATGAGAATGTCGTCGAGGTACACCATAACGTCGCCAGAGAGGATGAGGTCCTGAAGTATGTCATTCATCATCGTCTGGAACGTTGTGGGGGAATTGGTCAGGCCGAAATACATCACCAACGGCTCAAAGAGCCCGCGGTTTGTCCGAAACGCTGCCTTCCACTCGTTGCCTTGATGAATGCGCACGTTGTTGAAGCCCCAGCGAACGTCGAGTTTGGTGAAGAACCGAGCTCCCTTGAGCTTGTTGATGAGATCATTGATCAGGGGGAGCGGGTAGCGGTTCTTCACTGTCATCGCGTTTAGTGCTCGGTAATCTTGGACAAACCGTAAGCTGCCGTCTTTCTTCTTCACAAAGAAGACGGGAGACGCCATGGGCGATTTTGACGGCCGAATCCTGCCAGTAGCCATGCCCTCCTCGATGAAGCTGTCGAGCTGCTTCTGTTCGAGAGGGGAGATGGGGTAGACCTTACAGTTGGTCGGCTTCGCGTCGGGAACCAGTTCAATGGCGTGATCCCAGGGGCGTCGCTCTGGCAGGTTGTCGAAGGACTCCTTGCTGAAAACATCTTCGAACTCGCGGGCCCACTCGGGGATGGTATCCCGAGGAGGTGCAGAGTTCTTAGCAAACGCCTCGGCGAGTCGCTGAGAGACGGTGCTGGTGGCTCGGATGTTTTCAGAAGGGTTGAAGCGGGTGTAAAAGATACGGTCACCGGCTTCCAAGGAGTCGTCATCTTCTTCGACATCTTCAGGGTCATAATCGTCCGAGTCTGGTGAAAGCTCCGGCATCTCTTCGTCCTCGTGGTCCTCAACGTCGACAGCGCAGATGGATGGAACCGGACCTTGTCTGATGGTGCGAAGCACCCGGGCCGCGGTTCTGGCAGATCGACGTTCTTCGCGAAGTTCCTCCTGGCAGGTGGAGCAACCGGAAGGGCAACGGCTCATCTTTACCTCCTGGGTATCCCAGTTGATCTCCGGGTTGTGCTTCCGGAGCCAGGAGTACCCTAGAATGAGCTGCTGCTTGCCTAAACGGGTGACAGCAAGCTGCACGCGTTCACTGTGGCCCTGGTAACGGAGAACCACATCAGCAACTTCGCGAATGGAGCCGGCCTCGTTTGGCGTGCCGTCCACGTTGTAAACGGGGATAGGTTGGGTGAGGCGACGAACGGGGAGGTGATTTTCGAGGACGTAGGCCGAGTCGATGAAGTCGGATGTGGCACCACAATCGACCAGGCCTTTGAGAGATAACTTCACTGCGTTGTTGGTGGACTCGATCTCGAGGGGGAGGTGGAGAGAATTGGCCCCGGGAGAGGCGGCAGCGACATAGCAGGAAGGGAGCTTGCGTTCCCACTTCTCCTTACGGACTCGTGGGATTAGAGGGGGAGCAGGGTGTACGTCTATCGCTTCAACTGTTGCAGAGTGGAGGGAATTGGATTCATCATACAAACAGGAGAAACGATTACGTGAAGCGAACGAGGGCGTACTACTCACTCGTCGCTGGGGAGAAAACCCTGCTCCTCCTCGGCTGCGACGTTGGACGCATGATCCGCAACGGCTGCAGTGGTCGCGACCCAAGCAACCAACTCGGAAAGCAGATCACTCCCCAGCTGATTGATGACCTCATCGAGGACATCGGTGTGACGAATATCAGCTGGGGTGGGGCAGTCACGGGCAAGATGGCCCGGACTGCCGCAGCGGAAGCAGGTGCGGCAAACGTCACCGCGGAGCCGGGTCCGATCCAACTCCATGGGGATGGGGTGGGCAACAGGAGCCGGCGCCGGGCAAGCAGCAATTGCCGGTGCTACAGCAGGGAGCACCGGGGCACGAGGACGAGGGACGATAGGAGGCGCTCGGGGGGGAGGGACGTGGCCTCGAGACGCCTTGGCAGCTTGTTCCGCATTGTACTGCTGGAACGCACGGACACGCCACTCGGCGTAGTCAGTAAGCCTGGGAGGGTTGCCAGAGGTGGTGATAGCCTGGTTGATCTTCGGATCCAGGCCCGTCCTATATTTGGTCACCTTGACCAGATCGTCGGTATAGCCGGCGAGATCAAGGAGGTCGTCGTATTTGTCCGTGTACTTGAACACGTCACGGGAGCCCATATAATACAGATGGGTCTCCAGTCGCGCCAGGGCGTGGTCTTGCTCGTTCTCCTCGACGAATCGGAGCTTGAACTCGGTGACAAAGAGAGCCCAAGTAGGGAACGGGAATGGGGTGCGCTCGGACATGCGCTCGGACCAGGAGGCCGCGGAGTCCTTGGACATGTAGGACAGGGCGAAGCGGACTACCTTTTCTTCTGAGACTGCCCCATTCACGAAGAACGCCTCAGGAAGCAGACGCCAGTACTGCTTCACTGAATGCAAGAAGCTCTTGCCCAGGGTGCGATCCCCATCGAAGGAGAAGGGGGGATTCGGGCGAATAAGGGGGCGCGCAGGGCTGGCACCAGTAGGAACACCTGGACCCGCTGCCGGAGCTGGAGCAGGGGCAGGGGCAGGGGGTTGTTGTTGTTGAGAGATGAGGCGGGTGAGTACGGCCTCAATGTTCTGTATGCTGGTCTCCAGAGCAGACAGCCGCTGCTGTTCGTTGTCATCCATGCTCATCGGGTCTGCTCGTGGAGGGGAGGAGGGGGCAAGATAGGAGGTGAGGGAGTGGTGGTCTTGGTCGCTCGTCGACTCTTCTCCACTGGTGTCAGCGTCAAACCTCGCAATCTTGTCCGGTTATCCCTAGGAACACGGTTTCTGCTGTAAGGGCAACCTCGAGACCCGATCTCAGAGTTCTGGCAAGGGAGAATCCAAAGGTGATTAATAGTGGTAGCTAGGTACAAGACCGGCATACCTGGCAAGGGAGAATCCAAAGAGAAACCGTGTTGGGGATTCTCCTTGCCAGGCGCCCCTATTTATATGATACAAGAACAATGGAGCACGCAGCGACAAACAAAGAACAATGGGGACAATAAGTACAACGGCCATGACAGAACAATGGGAGCGGGGACAATAGGAACAATGGGGCACCTGGCCATGTGCCCATCAAGGAGAAGCGCTCGGCGCGGCAGTCCAGGCCGCGGTATGTGACAGCTGACAGGTCACGCGAGCGCAATCACATGCCTGATCGAAGGCAGAGCGGTCCGAAACGGGGGTTCCCCTGACACCTGCCAACTCTCGAAGCCGGACATTGAGATTATCTCATCCATCGCTACAAACCCAAAGACGAGCACCTTCCATATCCCCAGCGACAACTCTTCGATCCCTACGAAAACGTCTTCACGCCCATTGGCCTAGTCGATGAGGACATTGACCCTAGAGAGGGGGTAATGTCATAATTCGACTCTTTTTCATCTTATCATCGACGATCTTATCTTATCTTGGCACGACTTATCTTATCACGGATCACGGCATCAGACGGTCCGGGCTAGGGGTTTCAGGGGTTATCTCTATCGATTCGAGGCTGCGCGACATATGCTCTGGAAGGTTCTACTACAACCCATGACCAGTGCTCCATGCAGTACATAGCCCTATGACTCATTAGTTGTAGATATGACTCAGACTGGATTGGGGTATAAATACTGTAGCTACCTGGTTGTATTCTCCAGTCTTCAAATTCACTTCTCTTTTCGACTTTGTTTTTGGGTTGATTGTCACACATACCCAGAAAGATAGCACCCTCTTATGTGCGGGTTGTAGATGACATCCTTCAGCGTGAAGGTGTAGTCCATGCCACTACTAGCATGACCCCGCAACACAATATCTCCAACAGCTTCATTCTTGAAGCAAGCTCCTGACCCAACGACTACATAGGTGTCGATAGGTCTGATGTTGTGAAGATCAGATCGGGTGTTTGTCATATGATGCGTACAACCCGAGTCCCATAGAAAACGAACTTTGGAGTCGTCTCCCATTTCTTCAACAAAAATTCCATCATCGATGTGTTTGAGGGAGTCACTCATGAGATAGGACAAAATGTGCATTCCATTGGAGGCAGCTGCAACTGCGGGAGCAGCTACAACTTCTTTTACAGTGCTAGTACCATCACCGCTCTTCTTCTCCTTCTTCTTTTTCTTCTTCCCCTCATCCTGCTTCCCCTTGCCTTTGTCAGAAGATTGACCGGTTGGCTTGAGGTTGGGATACTTCTTGTAGCAGGATGCCGCAACGTAACCGGACTTGTTGCAATGAGTGCAGCGGGTGGCGAGGGATGGAACGGTGGAAATCTTTGAGTTCGATGTCGTGTCGAGGTTCTCAATCTTGATATTCCCTATGACGCTGTTCTTGACATCGACTGGGTTCAGAGAAGCAATAGGACGATTGGCCAGGTAAGAGGTGACGAAACCTCTGCTGGAAGCAGGCAGAGCGGTGAAATGCTGAGGGCGTGCTCACAGGTGAATCTACTATGAAGTAAACCCAAATATAAACACGTTCACACTCCTCGTAATCAGCTTCTCAGCGTGTGAAAGATGCGAGGGCTTCGGGGTGGACAGAGCACCAGTATCACAACTCTCAATAGACGCAGATCCAATAGTCGCGGAGACGAAGTCGACGACAGGAATTTATATATAGCAAAACAATGGTGTCTCAACCAATATCTCCTATACGAATCACAACCAACACTAATCCAATCCACAAACAACAATATAACAAGTCAGAACTTAATACGAAGTATTAAGATCCCTTGTAGCGACAGCGTCCAGATGGTGACGCAAAGCCCAAATGTCAAGTCGACGCACTGCCAACCGATACAACCAATATACTGAGTCGACGCACTGCCAACTAGTAAACCAAAATGCCGCGTCGACGCACTGCCAACTAACAGCCAATATTCAATGTCCAAAACCCGAGCACAACTTGTCGACGCACTGCCAAGCAAGAAGTGTGGAACCAAAGTTCTCAAGTCAACGCACTGCCAACTGACCAAAACAACCCGAGCACAACTAGTCGACGCACTGCCAAGCTAGAGGTGTGGAAACGATCTCAACAAAGCCCGAAGGCGACGACACTAAATGCCGCGACTAAACCAGATGCGGCGAATCCGACTTTCTGATGTCTCAACTCAAAACTCAAATCACAGTAGCTACAAGTGCTCAGGGAGCAACTCGTCGCGACCGGGCAGGGGTAACAGAACTTCTTAGGGCGGAATCACGCGGCACGCAAATTGTACAAAACAATCTGAAATGAGAGTGATTCACAGTCCGGGGGAAAGCTTCCCAATACAAAGAAACGACGTGCTACTTATACTGTCTACAACAATGCTTAGTAAAGTCCTGTACAACTGCATAGTAGCTACGCTATCTAAGATCGGTTGCCTTTTAGGGTAATTGAAAAGTTGAACGATCGGACAGGACCTGAGTGATCAGGACCCCGCCCCATTGTCCATATGATACTTTTGATGTGGGTCAACCCACCGCGTCATACTTTTGGAATACGACGTGCTGGATTGGCCAACGGGTATGTCTTGGCATGTGAGACCAACGTGGGCGCCCCAAGAAGCCGTATGGCCCTAGGCACGCCAGTCGTCCCTCACATGGCTCGGTTCACGGATCTAGCCGTGTCAATTTCTAGTGTATTTGGGTATGGACGCGACTCGCCGTGACACTTGGGAGTGTCACCGCGACGCGTCCACAATGTCCCGTGATCGAATGGATCCTGACATGTGACAAGTCGTTGTCGTGGCACGATCTGAGGAAACGTCCAACTCAAAACCGGGAGTTGCCGCAACAAGATGGTTTAAGTCTCGTAACGCCAAGTCCTGTCCAGTAGTAGTTCTATTATTGAGAACGTCGCGCATTGCTCAGCCCTTCAGCCCAAGTTCCCATCTGCAGAGAATGACCCTTTTTGAGAAGTCGACGCAACGACAGATCCCTTTTTGGGGAATGGTCGCGGTCCAAGCGTTCGTCACTAATGGCCCTGAGCCTGGTATAGACTCATAAGACCAGTTCCACAGTAGTGGTCTGACTGCCTTGCTATTGTCGACACTATCCACAGTCGTCGACTGAGCAGTAGACCCTTAAGTCCTACTGAGTGCAACACTGTCAACCACGACACGATACACCGAGTGGTTCAAGAGTAAACTCTGTAAAAAGCGCAAAAATACGCCCTTACAGAGCTGGTGCAGAGCGCGTCTGGTAGCCAGCCTATCAGCGGCGAGCATGAGAGTAGCAAAGAGGTAGTCGGGGATCTCGATTCCTCCTTCCGAACACTGGCGACGACGAGTCTCCATTTCCATGATTTGTTTTTCAATGGTGTCACCACCGTGGAAGGTGGTGGTGTTCAGGAGGCGGTACTTGACAAAAGCATCGATGGCATTTGGTTGGCCATAATCCGTTGCCATTTTCGCAAAAACCTCGCGCACAGTGCGCTCGCGCTGACCATCCATAAAGATTCCCTTGCGCAGATTCTGGGTGATATAAACCCGCACAGGACCCAGTGCGTTTTCATTGGCAACGTCCCATTGATATTGGCTGTCGCCAGCCGTTCCAGGACGCTCCATAGAACCAGGGTTCAAGGTAGATGTGCCGTTAACCGTAATATGAGTGGGTTTAACCACTCCCCAAGTGCCCTGATGCATGCAGATGCTCATGTAGTTGTCCGACCACGTATTCCAATTGGTGCCATCGAAGACACTCAGAATGGAGTTGTTAAGTTTCTTGATTCCCGACATGGTGGGGAGATACTCGATAACGTCGGTGGTTTGGTAGTGAAGAGAGGGGAATTCAATATAGGGAGGATCACCGAATAGGGACCGAAGTTCAGGAGTCCAATTGTCCTGATGGTGAAATAGATCTTTGTTGTCGTGTTCACCAAGTTCGTATAGGTCTTCCCAATCGGTGTCTTGAAGGGTAGTGTAAGAAGGTCCCTGAGCCCAACGGACAACAAGGATAACCCCAACGGGAGGGTCGTCTGGTGATGACAGGGTGATAGAGGTGGAGACTAGAGCGACAAAGTCAGCCCCAGATTCTCTGCAGACCAAGAAACAAATCCCAAGTGCCAAATCTCTAAAAAACAAGAACGACCAAGCGTCCCCATCCCATCCATGATGCCCATATACGCGCGGGGAATGATAACGAAATAAAGCGGTATAGTAAGTGCCCATATTTGTATCAAAGTAACGTAACTATATACGTCAGCGGTGGCAGCACCCGACAGTGATTACTGCCCTCGCAGTCCATCACTGGCCAAGGGACACGTGCCCAAGGCCATCCCAAGCACCGGGTTTGGCCACCCATCTTCTCCCTTTTAAAGACATGCATACATGCAGAGCATCATTGCATGAATCCTTGTAGTGTCACCAGCCCACAGGGTCCCTTGTGAGGAATGTGAGTCAACCCCAAAGGATTGTTTTGTCTGGCAGAGGGATTGACCTCCAGCAGCTGTTGAGAGCTACCACACCACCTAGGCGCTTCGCGCAAGGTTCAGGAGTGGGATTGACCAAAGGAACAGTGCCTGGTGGGTATGTCCGCTGTACAATAAAAAGATGTAACGTAAAATGCGCGCGAGCAATCATGGACGGAATAGCTAACGGCGTGTCTGCCAACTGAATGACTCCCTGACACCGCTCGCATAACCCCTTGAGGGTGAGAGCACAAATGCGAGGACCAACATCCAGCAAGTGGGACGAGCGCACAAAGACAGCGCTCTAGATGTGACAATCAACCCAAAAACAAAGTCGAAAAGAGAAGTGAATTCGAAGACTGGAGAATACAACCAAATAGCTACAGTATTTATACCCAAATCCAGTCTGAGTCATATCTACAACTAATAAGTCATAGGGCTATGTACCGCATGGAGCACTGGTCATGGGTTGTAGTAGAACCTTCCAGAGCATATATCGCGCAGCCTCGAATCGATAGAGATAACCCCTGGAACCCCTAGCCCGGACCGTCTGATGCCGTGATCCGTGATAAGATAAGTCGTGCCAAGATAAGATAAGATTGTTGATGATAAGATGAAAAAGAGTCGAATTATGACACTAGAAGGGCTGAACGAGTGAAAGATACTCGCCTTAGTAAAGGGAGTAGTTTGATTGTTTCTTGATTTGCCGCTAGTGGTTCAGGCGGGGCCCATAACCTGTCGCAGACAATATCGCGCAGTGGAGATACGACCAGTAGCGATCACCTAAAGACACAGAGTCTCAGCGAGTGTAAGACACAGGAGCTGAGGATATGGAGCGTATAGTACTAGGTTTATATACCAGTCTGGAGCAGATATCATGATGTTATAGTGGAGTAATGATATCATAGATGAGTAATGGATGACGCAATAATGAGGTCAGGTATGAGGTCATTGTGGAGCAAGCCAAAGTAATCTAAGAATACTACTTATGATATCATGTCTACATACTGTGATAGTCGCTAATACAAACAAGCTTCAACACATGGATCCTCAAACCATGGTCTAAGGATTTCTCTCTGTGATTAGACTCATATGAGGTTGTTGTGTGCTGTATGCTCTCTTCCTTTGGGCTGCAAGAAATTGCCTGATATGCACTGTCTTGTGAATCATACTGTAACATGACTGGTTAGCCTACTCCACTGACATATGTATATATTATTCATAGGAGCTGGATTCATATATATATTCATATACAGACTTATGCTGCTTCCAGACTATCACATGCTATTGCAAGTGCATGAGAAACCTGCTGAATCTGAGAATTGTCAGAAGACAGACTACAAAGAAATCTGATACATACATATAGAGAATCAAATGCTTCAAAGTGATGACCTGGAATCATGTGAACCTCCACCTTGCAGTGTGGCATCAATTCCCATCCCAGTGCCCCAATATCTGAGCTGTATCTCTCTGTTAGCCATGAAGGGATGTCTTTCTTTGTCAATGCTGCACAGGTAAATCCAGTAGCTGACTTTAGCAGTATCATTGGGGGGCAGACATTTCCTATTGGATGAGGAACATATGCTTGTAGCAGTGCTGAGCTGAGAGTGAATTGCCTCTGAATTATGCTAGGAGCAATCTTAGTTTCATTGGCAGGCAGTCGAGACATAAGATATGTGACCAGTGTTTCAGACAGAGTAATATCTCTGTTTGGACAAGGTGAATCAATCAGAACAAGTCCTTTTGGGCTATGACCATAGCTAGCAAGTTGAAGAGACATTTCATAGGCAACAATACCACCAAATGACCAGCCTATGATAATTTTAGAAAATTTGCAAATTCTCAAGAAAAAACATTACCTCCAAGAATAAAGGGCCCTCCATGAACAGCAGAAATACATTCTAGGTATGTACTTGCCATTTGTTCCACTGATATCCATTGACTCTCTTGTGTTAATTTTGGATTATAAAAAGCCCAAACAGCTCGGTTGATAGGAAAGAGATTCTTATAGCAATCACCCAGACCACTTCCATCATGAACAAGAAACACTGGGATATGTTCATCAGATACACCTTCTTGTATACAAACAAGATTTGAAGAATATCTTGATAAAACATTTGAGGCTTCTATAAATGATACTTGTTTTTTTGTGTATGCTATCTTCTTAGCTGCTAGTTCTTGCTGAATGAGATTGCAGAGTTCTCTAATAGATTCACATAGTGAGAGATGATATGTGCTTAATTCCAGATCTGGAAAGATTCCTGATAGCTCACTAGCTAGTTCTATAAAAAGAAAGGAATCTAGACCTAGAGAAGTAAGCTGAATATCTAGCTGGAGTGTGTTGATTGGTACATTGCAAAGTGCTGAAAGAAGCATGAAAAGGATGTGATCTATATCTTCATAAGAGCAGTCTGGTTTTAGTGTCAACAAATTATACTTATTTGTATAAGAACCATTGTATTGTATGTCTTGACTCGCAACCACTTTTGAGAATGATTTCTGGAGATTTAGAAGTTTTACTTGCTGGAATTGAACATTGCTTAGATGGGCCACAACATTTTGAGGATCCAAACTTGGGGTAACATAAATATTTACAGACACACTGGCATTGTCTGTAGAGATAAGCTGACAATAAAGAGCATATGACTTTTGTAGATCAATTTTATATGAGTCTATATATATCTCCCCAGCTTGTGCACAAATGAACATGTTTTCTGAATTACACTGCAGGTTAAGAACAAATCCTGCTGCATGAAGTAGTGTATCAAGCCATATTGGATGCACAATATATTTGCCTCTTTTGAAGCCAACTGGCAATTGGAATAGAGAGAGACTCTGCAAAGTCAAAGGATCAAATTCAATTGCCTGTATGGTGCAATATTGTGTACCATATTGGACAACACGTGGAAAAATTGACTGATAAATGCTTTCTCTATGAAACAGCTGGGTTTTTGAGTGTCTTAAGCCAGATTTAACTTGTTCAATCATGCTTGGTAATAAGGAAAGAGCCTGCTTGTGCAAATCATCTTTTGATTTTATGTGAAATTGCCCAGAAACATGAACAGTTTTATGTCTCTTAGATTTTGTATATGTGCTGATTGAAAATATGCCATTTGTAGGATTTCCTTGAAATATAATCTCACTCATGATAAACTGAGAGGTAGGGATATTATAAATCAATGGTGCTGAAAATTTGGTATGAGTAAGAACAATTTCTTCATTTTCTCTGATAGATTCCAGAAATGTCCCTGATAAGTGCACACTAGCAAGCACCAACTCTAGATACAAAGAGGCAGGACATAACGCATGATTTCCAACTTGATGTTGGGTAATATCCTCTCCAAGGTTTTCAAGCTCTGTTTTGAAAATAGAGGTTAGGTTATTTTGTAAATTTGGTTGTTGCATCCAGCCTTGAATTAGTGTATAATCCATAAGTTGCTCTGGCTTTGTCAGTTGTCCAGCATGATAATATGTCTTAGCTCTCTCACTATGAGGAATCCAGAATTTGGTCATTGTAAAAGGATATGATGGAAGAGAAATGCATTGAATATTGTTAGCAGTGCCCTCAAGTATAGCTCTCCAATTCAAGTTAGAAGCAAGCTTTGAATAGTATAATTGACTCCAAGCAATACAAAATGTAGTAGTTGTAGCTTGCTTCTTTTTCATTGATGCTAGCAGCATAGTTTTTGGTTTCAGCATGGTCCGGAGAAAAGACAGACAGACAGTATGAGGCCCTATCTCTAGCCAGCCAGTCTCAGTCTCATACCCTAGAGATTCAACTAAACTGTTAATCCCAGCTGTAAACAAAACAGGTTTATAACAATGATCAGAGATATATTGACTGTTGAAGACTGAACCATCTCCCGGATGCACCACTGCTCCAATAGTGTTAGAAATAGTTACAACTTTGGGAGCACCAAAAGAGAATTGGGAGCAAAATACTGAGAGATCATGTAAAACAGGTTTCATAGCATGACTGTGAAAACCAAATGACACAGAAAGCAAAGTATTTCTACAGTTTCTATCATCAAGCCAAATTTTTAGCATCTCAAGTTGTACTAGGGGCCCTGAGATTACATGACTCCTCAATGTATTAAAACAAGCAATTTCAAGTTTATCATAGGAGGCACTGGCTTCAAGTATTCTTCTGCATTCTGTTTCTGACAGATCAACTGATAGCATTCCAGTAGTATTTGGGTGGCATTTTTCAGTTATCAGAGCAGCACGATAGGCAACTATAATCAAGGCATCACGCTTTGAAAGCACACCAGCAATTACTAGTGCAGCATATTCACCAAGGCTAGAAAAAAAATAAAGATCAGTATTGTTTTTACTTGATTATATATATTTTACACCTACCTATGACCAACAACAGCATGTGGTACAATTCCCCAGGACTGCCACAGCTCAGCAAGACCACACTCCAAAGCAAATACTGCAGTATGAGATGATCTGATATCATCTGCATTGCTGACAGTGTTGTTAAGCAAAAGAGGAAGGATGCTCTCAAACCCATGATCTTTGAGAATATTTTCACTGTTGTCAATACTTGCTTGAAAAACAGGGAATAATTTATACAAGTCTTTCCCCATACCAGGGTAGTGCATACCATGACCAGAAAACATATATACTATAGAGTGTGGCGAGAAGCACTGTACTTCAGTCTTCATGTTTCCCAAGTTGTGAACTACTTCCTGTATAGATGAAGCAGAGAAAGCAAAGCGATATGGGTGTATTAATCGCCTAGCAGTCATTGTATAGGATAGATTGCCTAAGTGAATATGGCCTTTCTGACTATCATTAAGTATCCAAGCAATATACTTCTGGGACAGTTTCTCCAAGTCTTTCACAGATTTTGCACTAAGTCCAAACAGATATGGAGGAGAGGATATCTGGTCCCCCAAAATATGAGTATTTTCCTGGATAAGTACAGCAGAATTGGACCCTGCAGCACCAAAGTTATTCAAGACTGCCATACGTGGACAACCAGGGATTGGAACAGGCCAGTGTGTATTCCTTTGATTAATGATAATATTATCATTCTCCAATGGTCGAATAAGAGGATTCAACTTTTTCAAAGATATCTGCTGAGGTATTAACTTATACTTCAACATCAAAAGTATTTTTGCCAATCCTGCAGCACCACTAGCAGCTTCCAAGTGACCTATATTGGCTTTAATTGATGTGAAAAATAAAGGATTATTCTGTTGTCTCTGAGAAGAGGAACCAGCCAAGATTGTGCGGAGAGCAGTAACTTCATTTGGATCCCCAGCCTGAGTTCCAGTACCATGACACTCTACAAGATTGATTTCTGCAGGAAGAACATTTGCATTGTGCAAAAGGTTCTGAAGTAGCAATGCCTGAGCAGATTGGTGCGGATATGTGATGCTTGGAGCTTGACCACTCTGATTAACTTCAGCTCCTCGAATTATTCCATAGATCTGGTCATGCTCAATCAGAGCATCCTTCAATTGTTTGAGAACAAAAACTCCAACACCTTCGCCCCGGCAGTAGCCATCAGCAGAAGCATCAAATGTCTTACATTGGCCAGTAGGGGAAAGAAAGTGACCATGGTCCAAACCCAGGAACATCTGGTATAAGATAGTAAATAAATGTTGAATAAGCTTGACATGACTTACATCTGGGCTTAAAATTGCATTTACCCCACCTACAAGACAAGCTTTACAATCATTGTTCATCAGAGCTCTTACCCCAAGATAGAGAGCAACATTTGATGAGGAGCATGCAGTATCAATCACAAGTGATGGACCCCCAAATTTCATAATATAAGAGATTCGTCCACTCAAAAAAGCTCGCAAAGTTCCTAGGCATAGTTAGTATCCAAATTTCAGGGAATGAATCAACTTACCAGTGCTATAATACACATCCATGTTATCTTGCAGGTTATGTACATAGTCTCCAGTAGCAACACCAAAGTAACACCCAAAGGTCTCTCTACTCCAAGTAGAAGTTGAATCAGGGGTATATCCAGCATCTTCCAAGGCATTGTATGCTGCATGAAGTAAGAGACGTTGCTGAGGATCCATGCTCATTGCTTCTCTTGGGCTAATATTGAAGAATGCAGCATCAAAATTATCTACATGCTCCAGAAAGTTTCCATGTGAAGCTCTCATTCTACAAGTTCCTGGTTCATTGCTAGTGTAAGTAGCAATATTGAATCTCTCCTCAGGAATCTGTATAATACAGCAATCAGAATTGTGGAACATAAGTAAGAAAAACACTAACCTTTGAGGCCATATTGAGACCATCTTGGAGAATGTCCCAAAGTTCATGTATGTTCTCTGCACCAGGCATATTGATTGCCATCCCAACAATGGCTACAGGATCATGCCTGGGCAAAGAGATACTGGGGATAGAGAGATTAGTCAGATCTCTTGTATCTGAAAGTATTTCTCTTAAATCCAAAGTTAATTCTCTGAAAAGGCCATTAGATGGTCCAAAGTTGATTAGCATAAAACTTGAATTCAAGAATCTCAGATCTTCCAAGACAGAATATAATACTTGATTCCAGCAAACAGGATAGACCAAGATCAAGTCAATAATGCATTCAAGAAGAGTAGCTGTGGAGACGTAATTTCCATTTATAGCTTGTCCAGTTCTTGAGTTGTAGATTGGGACTTTCACCATTGCATAAGTAGGGAAACAAACATTGTGTTTCTGCAGATCAGTCAAGACAGCTTGTGAAGTCAAGAGATGATCAGAAGAGTGATAAAGAGAATCCACATTGGTCCAGTGTGTTGTATATAAAGGCCTTAGACTCTGCTCAAATCTTATGAGAACATCAGGATGACCTGACACTGCAATCCGAGTTTTACTAAAGACTGCAGTAATGGACAACACATTAGAGTCCTGTGAGACAGATGAGATCTTGAAACATATACTGCAACAAACTCACCAAATCTTCCAAAAATTTATCAATCTCAGAGGCTATAACATCTTCAGATGCTCCCATGATGACCAGTGTCCAAGATTTATTTTGAAACTTGGATGCAGAGACACTAGACAAGACTTTGACACGATATGACTGAGCATGAACACCAACCCAGAATGCAACTTGATAAGCTTGGATAGTATGCAAGATGTAGGTGGCAATATCATTTGATGTTGCAGCGACACATGCTGCTAAAAGCCCAGAAGAGAATCCAAGGACAACCTGAGTACAGTCAAGAGCATCAGTAAACAGCTTCTCAGGATGTTTAGGATGTAATTGTTTGATATAAGATAAGTATTGCAGACTCTGAGCAAGTAAGAGTGTGGTTCCAGAGAGAATGGGATTCCATAGATACTTCTGGGCAGGACAGAGTACTGTATTACACCCATCGAAGTCCTCTCGAGACAGTCCGGTGAGTCTCAGTTCTTGAGAAGTGAGGGAAGCGAGCTCCCGATGGAAAGCTTCATAGCATGCAAGCAAAAGCGTGGCACCAAGGGGCGTCTCAGAAACAACCTGGGCCTGACATTTAAGAGCGGAAAGGCCAGAGGTACCTTGTCCAGCAAATAACAGTATAGACTTAGCCGAAGCGTTGCGAACAGGTCCACTGGGATTCATACTGACGGAGGAGCTGCAGAGCAAGAGGATGATTGTAGGGCGGATGGTGGCACAAGTCGAAAGGAATGCGATAGAGAGCAAACACACGGCGACAACACGTCATGACCCTCTTCACACGGATATACTGCTACTATTTCCATCCCTCGTCTACAATCGAAACGCCGTACTCGTCTACAATTAAAACGCCGCACTCGCATACAACGGCGTTTCTACGGAGATGAACCCTCAGCGTATCTGGCAGCGATTCTGAAATGACGCCACATGCGGTGCTCGCTCTGTTACTACGCCAATTCGTCCACACACTAGTCAAAACCGGCCTTGAGTCGGCTTCTGGCGATCATTGGGACGCGACGGGACGCATCGAAGGTCGTTTACTTTGGAAAGTAACGCTCGCTGACTTGTTGGGGCCGAACGGAAGATGTTATGTATCTTGAGAGGAATAGTCAGCCGGGCCATAGCTGGGAAAAACAGCGATCCCTTCGTGGGGATTGGCCAAGCCCTTGGCTAGATTCGGCCTTCCGGTGACCCGAATTCCTCCACAACTGTGCTCGAGAGACCGGATGTAGTTGTAGTATCAAACTTTTCACAATCACACGTACTTAGCGAATATGATTGTTCTGTGCTATGTCGCCTGTAAATGCACCTACAAAGCTTTTGCCGGTTTCCGCTCGGCCGATGAATAGCCGATAGCATCACCCGTGTTTCTGTTCTCCCCACTAGTACTGTGCAACTAAGTATGCGTCCCTCAGCAGCACGTTTCTTAAACATCCTGGTCCCAGTCAAGCGGTGGGTTGTATGTCAATTATAAACGAGGCTTTACTTACGAAAGACAGTGCTGTCGATTACGCCGTGAAAATCCGCGTGAATCCACAACAAACCGGTGTCGACCTCAATGTCAAGCACTCCATGGTAATGCAATCCCGCTTGCTGGTCCCTATACTTTCGTCTCATACTCACCGAACAGAACCCTTTCGATGAGATTGGTTCGTATCTGTCTTGTGCTCTCGCTCCGTTCTGACAAACACCGTGAAGCGGTGGAGGAAGCCGTTCGACTGCGAGAGCGACTCAAGGACCAAGTCAAGTCAATCAAAGTCGTCTCGATTGGCCCTCCGAAGTCCGTCGACACGATACGCACTGCGCTCGCCATGGGGGCCGACTCCGGGATACATATTGAGGTGCCGGAATCGGACCCCGCGCCTGAACCACTGGGTGTCGCCAAAGCTCTCCGTGCGGTAATCCAGCGCGAAAGCGAGGGAGTTGATCTGGTCATCATGGGGAAGCAAGCTATCGACGATGACGCTGGCCAGACGGGCCAGATGCTTGCAGGACTGATGGATTGGGGTCAGGCGACGTTTGCGAGTAAAGTCGAGTTGGATGTTGCGGCCAAATCGGCGACGGTCCTGCGAGAAATTGACGGAGGGTCCGAGGAAATCCGATGCAAACTTCCTCTGGTGGTGACGACTGATTTGCGGTGAGTCTCCGTGGTTGGACTGTCTGCGTACATGCGTATTGATCTGGCCCGGTCTTTTTCAAGATTGAATGGTATGTTATGCTGTAGTCCTGGGTCTAGCTTGAGCTCAAACTAACATGTAGAGCCACGCTACGCATCTCTCCCCAATATCATGAAAGCCAAGAAGAAACCTATCGAAAAGCTCACTGCGGCTGACATTGGAGTGGACTTCACGCCACGGCTGGAAACTATCAAGGTGACTGAACCACCAGTACGAGTCGGAGGAGGAAAAGTACAGAGCGTGGATGAGCTTGTTGCAAAATTGAAGGAAGCGGGCTTCACGGCGGCTTGAAATACATCTCGTCATGCATAGATGAATCGTTCAATATTCGACTACATAAATGCGCGGATCCTGGGTGGCCGACACCAACATTCCCTCTTTACAACTCATCTCCAGTACCACTGCCAGAATTGAGCAAATTCCGGGGCGAGCGTAGGCATCAGCAATCTGTTTTTGCGTAACGTCGAGCTTCTTCAACGGCTTTACTGCTGATGCCAGGGTTTTGTGTCGCAACAGGAAGCGCGCGAGATCCGTGGGTCGAACGAGGGTAGTCGTCAAAGATGAGAGAATGGGGAACACGATCCGGGGCAGACGAAAACAGGATTCGGGTTGGAACAGTGCTTCCTGGTAGACGCGGTCGCACAGCGAGATCTCTAGGTCAGTGAGATTGGGCATCCGGTCAAAAAAGGTGTCCACGTCGGAGCGTTGACAATGCCCGAGCCCCACGAGGCGCAATCTCGTGACAGTGGTGCAGCTGGAGCGACCTAATGAATCGAAAACTGCCGCTATCTCGTCTCGCAACGTCGCAGCTCGACGGTCCACCACAGGCAGCAGGGTGGGGCAAAACAGCACATCGTGGAGCGTGAAGTTGAGGAGTGCCGGGGCCACTATGCACGAAGCCAGCGCGGCGATATCGTCGATGAAGGCCAGGCGCAAATTCCGGAGGACCGGGAGGGTAACTGTGCGTTCCTCGGGTTCGCTATCCTCAAGAGGAGCCCATCCTTCGTAGTCCAGATGGCATAGTGTCTGGGAGCAGGTGATCAACAGGTCACACATCTGTTTCAAAGTCGGCCGGTCGTGTACTAGTCCCTTCAAGATGAGTGTGGAGACGTTGTGGGTACCCCATGTTCCCCATCTGAAGCTCGAACCGATAGGACACGGGAAACTGAATGGAGCGTTGTGACCCGCCGAGCTTTTGCGCACTACAACAATCTCGAGTGCCTTGTGGACAGCGACATGGAAGAGCCGCATGGCAGGGAATTGGATCCAGGAGAGGCTGGCGATTGCGTCCAGAGCAATGTCATAATCAAGCGACGAGATGCTGAACTTCTTCATCTGCGGAGCATATTCACAGATAATTGCCTCCTCTCGAACGGTCAACAGTCGATGGACCTGTAGACGAAACGAAAGGGAAAGGCCGCGAGAACGCTGCAGGTAGAGCTCAGTGCGGTAGTGCGATCCCCCTGGGCTCTTGGCCTGGAGGAATACTCGGGTCCAGAGAAGAGGGGATCCCAGCGCGGCATCCCGCCAGGATCTGCAGACTTGCGACAGAACAAGTGGGACTTGATGGTCTTTGTTCGACTTGATACTGAGGAGGAACAAGTCGTAGAGCAGGTCGTGCGGCAACAAGTGGAAGACGGGCCGCGCGGTGCCGAGCTGATGGTCCATGACGACGACTGGGCTGATAATGAATTTCGACGACAGAACCAGGGCATGCCTTAAGTAGCAAACGAGAGCGAGTCCAAAGCGCCGAGGGTGCTTTGAGTTGCGCATTGTCCCTTTATTCAAAGCGACTGTATCTACGGCTCACAGCGCATCGATCATTCTCCCCAGTCCAGAGGTCCCGTTGAATAGATCTAGTCCTAGTAATCTCGGGGCGGGAGAAATACAACGTCGGAAGCCCATCGAGTGGTATGATCAAGACTGGCGGCGCCAAGTTCGACGCGAAATCCCAGTTTTTCATATAGAACAGAAATCGGCCGATTACGACAGAACGTTGGAAGCAGGTCAAGCCTCCGATGATGAGGAGGCTTCATTGTCATGAAGCATCGTTGACATGAGAAAAGCCACGTAGTAGTGAGGGCGTAGTGTGACGGGGGAGTCGTCGTTTCGTTTCGGACATTGAAATCCACGATGACACGTGACAACTTGCGAGAGAACGACGCGGGAAGACGTCGACCACGGAGAGTCTGGGGAGCAGAAAAAACAGCTGGCAGAGAATTTCTGCTATGCGGTAGTATTGGCAGGACTTCAACGCTCGCGTATGATGCCCCGGATACCAACGGCGTAGTTGCCTCGCAGCTGAGAAATCGCCGCCTACACTTAGCACATGCGCAGGCGGTGGTGCAGCGCAGCTCCAACCCGGCTGTCGATGATCGACGATTGGGTGAAATCCGGTTATCCCTGACAGTAACTTGAGAGGGTGAATGTGAGCCTCACACGGAACGACAATCTGGTCACTGTGTCACTGTCCAAGATCTGATTGCGCGTGTATACGTAAAATATCCCCCAGATACAAGTGTACGATAAATTTGGGTATCCAATCATGTATTATTCACGCAGATGGCTGAAAAGTAAAGGTCTTGGGGAGATCATTCAGGGAGCGATGCGATGGAAGTGGATTCGGACGTACCACCGGTCCAGATGTAGTAGCAAAGGATCCACTGAAAGCGGCGTAGTCGCCAGTGATGATGATGGCATTAGAAGATCCGACATAAGCAAGGACGGTGGCAGGTTGGGCTGGATGGCATGTTAGAGCAAACTTGGTCTGTGTGGACGCTTGCTTACATCCATCTGGATTAATCCATTGCGGAGAAAGGGTGTTGGTCACCGCATTGTAGGTCCACTATCTTGAAATCAGCAGAACCTGAGACTCATGTCTGGAGACACTCACGATGGCCGATTCGGATGGCTCGCTGGTAGGATATGACGAGCCAACATATTGCGGAGTTGAATCAGGGTCCGCTGGGTCAGCATGTAAGCAGATAAGCAACACCTCAATTGTCGTGGCGTACTGTGGGAAGTGCTCTGGATGTAAGCGTAACTGAAACACGTTCAGCAAAACAGGAATAAGATGTCGTAAGAAGCCGCTCACTTGAAGCTTCCCACCGCAAGACTGTTGGCAGTACCTTCACTCAACACGCCAAAGGTGGCCCCCATGAGCGGGAATCCGGTGCCGACAGCAACACCAATGTCCATTTCGGAAGCCGATAGAACCGATGAATCGACGTTGATCGTCACGGTGAACGCATTCGTCTTCGACGAGGAGACGCCAAAGTGTTGGAATTGGTTTTGCCCCTGCGTTAGGTAACCCTGAACACCTGGACCCGAGACAGCTATGATGCCACTCCTTCTGCAGCGGCGTCAGCGTGATATTCAGTTGCCGCTGCAGCAAACGCACGAGACCGGTGGAGAATTTGAGCGACGAGCTTTGGCCGCTGGTGGTGCACGGGTCAGATATGCATGAAATAGGACACTGATGCTCACCTTGCCCGCTTCGCCGTCGGCTCGGCGGTAAAGGAGGGAGACCACGAGCCAGTCTCTGGGCATTAGTGAGAGAGCTGCGTGCGATAACGGAACCTGGCACAGGTTGGGCAACTCTCTTCACAGCTGGTTGGAAGCCGACAGGGCCCCCATCGATGTCCAGAGAAATCGCACGAGTGGGAACGGAGGATAGAACGGAAGAGACGAGGCCGAGAAGGACACAAAGGACAGGAAGGGTTAACATCATTCGAGTCGGAAAAGACAGGACAGCGGCGCTCGACTTCGCCTGCGCTTTTGAGGGTGGTGAAAGTTGAGTGAAGAACGTGGAGACTCCATGTCATCCCCCTCTTGCGGACAGCCCCTGTTACTAGAGGGGAAGATGAATACCAAGAAAATCATAAATGATTGTGGGACATGCATGATTACATATGTGCTTTGATCGAGAGAGATTGTCGAAGCAGAGTGACACCGCATAAAAGCAGATGAGGGGACAGAATCGAATGTTTCCCGGACCGTATTCTCATTTCACTTCTTTAGGAGTGGGTCCCTCTGATGAGATCGGGTTGTGTGCAGCTTGTTTCCGTGTACCGTAATTCCGCGTCTCTGGCACACCATCGTGTAGTGAGATTGATTAGGCCTTTCGAATGCGAGAATCTGCGAGAGCGAGTGAGGAAGCAGAATATTCATGCCATTTCAGTGAAGTTGAGGTTGGCTGTTAGCACTTCAGCAGTCATGACACGCTGCAACTTCGAGCACTAGAAGGGGATCCGCAGTGATAGCCATAGTCACTGACGATTGAGCCCATGAACGATAGGTTTTCGATCGCATTGCAGCTCGAGAGGATCTTAGAACAATGAATGGAGTCTAAGTTGCGTCAAAATGTAGGAAACGGACGCAACTCTTTTCGAGTTACGTAACGAGCTACGATTGGATCAACACAGCCGCAGCGCATCTCATTTGGACTGGGATCAACTCTCGCGATTGACCACCTCCAGATCGGCCGTCGGCGCGTCTCGAAAGCGAAATTCGCAAGAATATGCATAGTCCTCGATCCGGCGGGAGCCGTAGCAAGTCCCGCTCTCCGCTCCCGCCCAGTCCGCGTCCATCCACCTTCCTTCCTCCTTCTCATTACGCGGAAGCAGGTGGCCTGGTTCCTCGCCCGCCGGCTCGCGTAGACCACGGAAAAACTAAAGACTCGAAATACGTGCACGTCAACACGAGCCCGGTATCCGAGCAGACACAAGCATCCGGAACGTCGATGGAAAGGGAGTTCCCCCGAAACTCGGTCTTCATGCCCATCGCTTCCAAGGATTCTGACTCCTCTTTCGAATTCGGCAGCCGCTCCCGTCCGCTGGAGCCGCAGAATAGACGCTTCTCCATGGCGATTCCTTGTGGCGGAACGCGGGGCAGCGGACCCGGCAACTCGAGGGGACGAGGCGGGGTGACAAATGTAAAGAGTGGCTCCAGAGTCGGAAGAGAAGGACAAATGATGAACCTACCGCAAGTTGAGACCCATCTGTTGCCTTCCCTGCGGGATACTATCGATCGCATGACGAGGACGCCTGCCTCGAAATTGGAGGTCGAGACTCTGTCCCGTCAAGATTCTGTTGCGTCCCACGACTCGCGTGTGACACCTGCAACATCTCCGCATCCTGCCGGCTCCACCACTCCGAAGGCTCTCAAATCTGCTTTGCGCGCTCCCACACCGAAGCTGCAGTTGGCTCCTCGGCCACCAAAAGTCCACACGCCCACGACCAGGTCGAGCGACAAGTTCGAGCGCATGGGCTCCACTCCATCCGAGGTACTTTGTGTTTCTTGGTCATAGGAAATCATTGCTGATGTCCGCCAAGTGCGCGCCCTTGGATAATCAAGTACAGCCTAAACGCGACCGACAGCGTTCGAAAACTGATCCCGGGACGATGAACCAACTCAGCTCAATTCCGCGCATCCATGCACCTCAGACCCCGGTCCCCGGCCATCGCTCAAAGTTCCATCCCGACGGTTCGAGCAGTATTCCCCGCCCCAAAGGATGCCGCACAGTGCATTCCACACCCCGTCCGGCGTGCTCCCAACAGCTCGGAGAAGAATCCTCGTCCGATCTTGAACTTCGATACGAGATAGAAGCTCGAGATCGTCGTTCGCTCAGAGTCACGAATGGAACTGGCGCACCCATTACCTCCAGCAGCGAGAGCGAACTGAGTGAGCCGGAACCTGCTGTTCCAGTTGGTTTGGGCCTTGGTCTAGATGACCCATCTTTCGGATCGCGGTTTACCACATCCCAGTTGCGACCTCGGTCGAATGGGCTGAACGCTCCAGACCGTTATGGCGAAGACCCTGCGGAACGACGGCGAAGAGAGCTCATCGGGATTGTCCAAAACCTGGAACATCAGTATGTGCAAGACTATGGTGTCGTCAATCAGCAACATTATGGAAAACCCGACCCGCCCTGGTGCGAGCGATCGAGGAATACGAAACCTCCGCTTGTTATGGTATCGTCGTCCAGCAGCCAAGATAATCACATCCACCAGCAAGATGTACCTGCGACCTGGCGACGCAGTAAGTCCTCTTCTCCCGTTCCTCATTCAGCCCCTCAGTCCAAGCGGCAATCTCGGGAACGCAAGAATAGCAACACCCCTTCTCCTGCGCTCCGATCCTCAGAGCGCCCTTCCCGGGACGCCGATTCGGGCTTCAATGACATGTATCACCGCTCAAGCCGTGCCGGCGCTCAGCCCCATCAGCAGTCCCCTGAATCTGTGTACGACGAACCCCAGGATTGGCATGCAGGTGCTGGAGTACCTGAGCGCTTGCAGCCTGCACATCGGATTATGCGAGACTCAGACATCCTGGCCAACTCTGATGCTGTGCGACTCGCGCTCAAGTCTCGATACGAAGAAGCCAAGGAGAGAGAAGTCCTCGGTCTCCCGCCGTCCGAATCCTGCGAGGCGCGGAACCAGCGGCTCTCGTATATGGACAGCGGCTCCTCACTCGCAAGAGTTGGCAAAGCTCAGTGGGAAGAAGTCGGGAGAGCGGGTCACTTGAGTATGGGTGCGGAAAAACTGTTCAGGACGTTGAGCGGTCGACGAATTGATCCAACTCGTGACGGATGGACTCAACAGAATGTGGCGCCTGCTGCTTTGACACCCAGTTCGAGCGCTTCTTCAGTTTACGACGACGACGATGTTCCGCTTTCTCAGTCCGATCCAGATGCGAGTGGCAGACGATCTGCCGCTGCACAGATCGCACAATCCTGGAGGTCCATCCATCAATCGCCCGAGGGACAAGAAAACTCGCCGCCCGATGCGATGGAGTCTGAGCGCCAGGACATCATTCACGAATTGTTCACCACTGAGGAGGCATTTGTCACCCGGCTCGCGAATACCATCGACCTGTTCGTATTGCCACTCCGGATGCAGGACTCGAAATCCTACGTTTCCGGCGTTCCACCCGAGATCGGCAGACTCTTCGACTGGCTCGAAGACATCTATAATCTTCACAATCAGTTTCTTCTCGTGTTACGCCGAACTCTGGAGACCACGTATCCTGTCCAGTGTATCGGAGATTGCGTTCAAGACAGCTTGATTGTTCGACTGGAAGTCTACCAGCCGTATCTGGCTCGTCTGGTTCCGGTTGCGGCCAAGATTGCGGAGTTCGTGGCCCAGGCCGCGAGCGACTTCGGAGAGTTTGTCAGATTACAAGAAAGCGTCGAGGGTTGTCGAGGTGACAGCCTCGAGGGCCTACTGGCTGAGCCTGTTACGCGGCTAGCTCATTACACGACGTTGTTCCGGGTAAGCGCAGAGTCTTCGTCAGGTTCTCACTCATTGCCTCTTGCAGAGCATTTTGGAGGTTACTCCCAAAACGCATCCAGACTATCTAGCGACTTTCGTTCTTGTGCACATGACTGAGCTGATGATCAAGGCGATGACCCAAGTGAAGTTGCAGGAAGACGATTACGATACTATGAAGGCCGCCTTGCATGGAATCAGCAATTTGCCGCCGAGCTTTGATTTGGTGAACCGCTCCCGCCGACTACTGCATCATGGCCAATTGGTTCAACTTCAGGAAGATTCGACCCAGAACCGCAAGAACGCAAGAGGCAGATCCAGCAAGCTTGTAGACGCTATCCATGTTTGGGACGAGCGGAAATCAAGATCGAGCTCATTCAAGTCTGCTGAAACAATGGGAACGGCTTCGACGGAGCCGGTGTCTCCGTATCTCTCTGTTCGGCATCATGATCAGGAAGGCGGACTCAAGATATCGACAAAAAATCAACACGAAGAAGTTGCCAACGTTCTGCAAGTCTTTGTCTTCTCGGACTGTGTTTTAATTACGAAGCTCCACGGACGACATGACTGGCGACCTATTGAGGATGTTGGACTTGCGAAAGTGATGGGGCTCTCTGAGGACGAGAAAAATGGTGAGAGAGTCAAGAGCTTTGGCCAGATGCATGCTTCATGCATTACAGCGGTCCTGTCGCTGGATGTGATGACCTCAAATCAAGATCGCGTCAAAACGTTGCGACTCGGTGTTGCTCGAACATCCGATGCAACCTTTCGTGACGCTTGGATTCCTGCTCTTCAAGAGTCTCTCAAGTCTTCTATACTCTCGCTGTCTGTTCCCAAAGCTTACGTCGCCAATGTCGAGCCCTCACACAAACCCATGTTCCCGAAGAGTCCGTCGCTCATTTGTCAACAAAGCGGACCGAAAGATACAAACCATCAAAATCAAGAGAGAGAAGAACGTGGATGGTGGTCTTCGCGCTTTCAGCAGGTCTTGAAGCAATTGCAGGCTGGCCTATAAGAAATTAGGTACCAGTGGCTGTACGATTAGCAGCATGTTACGTAACAATGATATACACTTGCTCTTTCCCCGTAACTCAAAACTTGCTTTCCGGATCGTCTTTTCTTCCTCCGCTCGTTCTATCACGGGGCTTAGGTCATGAATGGGACCGAAAAAGCGGGAATGAACGGCAGTCTTGCGTTGCATCCTTCACACCCCCTGGCCGAAGAGCTCGTCAGCCTGCGCACGGCCGCCACCCGTTTCCAGGTGCGTCTCGCATTCGCGTTTCCTCTTGCGACGGAGGGTGATTTTATTAAGAAGAACGTGTTCTTTTGACAGAACGAAGCGCATGCTGCGTCGATCAAGCTCCAGCGACATGCCCTGGACACGTCGGCACTGACGGATCGTGTTGCTCATCTCGAGGACGAGAATGCGTTATTGCGGACTGAACTTGGGGTATTCCGGGACACATCCGGCTCTGCCTCGTATCCGGGAGATGACCGGAATCAAGAGACCGTTGCGGAGTTAACGCTCTCCCTGCGGCGACTCAATGCCAAGCTGTCTCTCACCGAGTCGGCGCTAGAAGAACATACCCGGACGTTGGCGGAGAAGAATACGGTGGCCGCACAGAGCACGCGGGCTGCTGGGGAAGCGTATGCGCTTGCTGCGCGGGCTCGTGGACGGGAAGAGGAAGAACGAGTTCGTAGCCAGGCACTCGAACGGCAGGTCGCGCAAGCGAGAGAAGAGACCAAATTGGTTGATCGAGTGGTCACTGAGTATGCTGCGTTGGTGCGCAGCATGACGGTTGATGGCGGGAGGAGTCCAGCACCGTCGGCGACCGGTTTTGATGATGGAGAATCGGCGGCAAGGGATACGTTGAACAAGGGAAAGGCGCAATTGGAGGGGTTGACTTCGGAGTTCTCGCAGCAGATCGTCGCCCTTGAAGCACGCATTGCTGTCATCGAGAATGAGCGCGATGTGGCAAACGCTGAACTCGCAGCTTCCAAGACTCTCAATTCAGAATTGGGAACAGAGCTCGCACGCTCCAAGTTCTCTGCTATCCAGTCTTTAGTCGACGATCGCAGCGCAGCCGGAATGGTCGAGCGGTACATGTGA